GGGCCAGCCACAACACGCTGAGCGAGGTCGCGGCCACGCGCGAGGCGCAGAGAGACAAGACCTCGTCAATCTATCGCTCCTCGTCCAGCCCTCGGATCTCCGCGTTGTTGGACAACAAGGACAAGGTTGGGCTTTCAGCAAAGACGTTTCAGTGCAGGGCAGTTGAGCAGACTTGACCTCACAGGTTTAAGACTCCCTTTCACTTTAGGTTATCGATAACAAGTGTGGGTCTCTTTTCAGAGAGGAAAGTTGTTCTTGCAGCCCTGCCCTCATCCCTGCTCCGTTTGGAGGGGGCTGCCAGTGAGCAAGGGCTGCTGCTCTGACAGGGCCCGTTCCTCTGCACATACCCGCAGTGGAAATTCTCCTTCACTGTCATCTGTGTGGATTCCTCCTGTATCCATCAGCTCTATTTGTGAATCCCATCCCACATTTTCAGTAGCTGTAACTTGGCTGCCCGTGCCTCGATGCCCCATCCCTGGAAACATTCAAGGTCAGGTTGGATGCAGCTCTGAGCAACCTGATCGAGTTGAGGATGTCTCTGCTTGTTGCAGAGGGGGAAATTTGACCTTTAAAGGTCCCTTCCAACCCAAACTATTCTATAATTCCCTGATTTATAAGTTCTAATTCCAGGAGCTGCTTTTATTCACCAGCATGCTCTTCAGTAAATCATCTTCAGAACAAATGCTTTTATGCTGTGTTGCCCAAGAAAATGCCTGAAACGAGTTGCCCTTAGGAGAACGCTTTCTTAATTGAAGAAATCTGAACAGGAATTTGTCACTGAATGTGCAGTTGAAATACTACTTTTGCTTCACCAGGATAAGGACAACAAGAGCTATCTCGCCACAATAGCCCCCAGAAGACTCAGCAGTGCGAGCGATATAGAAGAAAAGGAAAACAGGTGAGAGTGAACCTACTGCTCGGCTGCAGTCCTGGTGACAGTTGGAGAAATACCTTTTTTCTGGGTTGGATGCAGCTCTGAGCAACCTGATCGAGTTGAGGATGTCTCTGCTTGTTGCAGAGGGGGAAATTTGACCTTTAAAGGTCCCTTCCAACCCAAACTATTCTATAATTCCCTGATTTATAAGTTCTAATTCCAGGAGCTGCTTTTATTCACCAGCATGCTCTTCAGTAAATCATCTTCAGAACAAATGCTTTTATGCTGTGTTGCCCAAGAAAATGCCTGAAACAAGTTGCCCTTAGGAGAACGCTTTCTTAATTGAAGAAATCTGAACAGGAATTTGTCACTGAATGTGCAGTTGAAATACTACTTTTGCTTCACCAGGATAAGGACAACAAGAGCTATCTCGCCACAATAGCCCCCAGAAGACTCAGCAGTGCGAGCGATATAGAAGAAAAGGAAAACAGGTGAGAGTGAACCTACTGCTCGGCTGCAGTCCTGGTGACAGTTGGAGAAATACCTTTTTTCTGTATTCACGTTTCATGTGTTTTCTCAGCAGTCCCAAGTATGTGGGAATTCACAACAGCTCTTGTGTGTGGAACTGTTTCCATTGCAGGGGTTGTTTTTATGGTGAATGTGTGTAGTTGCCCCTGGACAGAGCCACAGTATAAATGGGATGAATATGTCGTTTATCAGTTTGGAAAGGGCAGTGTCAGGAGGAAGGAGCCAGGCTCTGCTCTGGGATGTCCAATGCCAGGACAAGGGGCAATGGTCCCAAGCTGGAGCACAGGAGGTTCAAGCTGAACATGAGGACAAAGTTTGTGAGTGTGAGGGTGGCAGAGCATGGCCCAGGCTGCCCAGAGAGGTTGTGGAGTCTCCTTGTCTGGAGACACCCAAACCCCTGACGTGTTCCTGTGACTGCTCTGGTGATCCTGCTCTGGGGGGGTTGCACGGGGGGGAGCTTTCCAGGTCCCTTCCAACTCCTCATATTCTGTGGTTCTGAGTTAATCTACAAACAGTTTCTTCACAGTTTTTGCTAGAAGGAGTGAAATTTGAGCTTGGCCTCATTGCCCGCCACTTCCACAACTGTGGTAGAAAGGCACATGTGGAGAAGTCGTGAGCTGTAATTGTTGTGAGGAAATCCCAGCCCATGAGCACCCGAGAGTTTCAGCACAGTCCGAGAGTCGTTGCTGATCTTTTCCTGCTGGATCTCAGCGGTCACTGGGATCTGGAGCTCAGCAGATCATTTGTGTCTCAATGACTGATAAGCTTCAGCGGTTTTGGCAGTGGCTGGCGTTGAGTGGCACATCCAGCTGCTGCTGTGGAGCGGCCTTTGCTTGGTGCAGCAGATGGTGCTCGGATGTATTGTGTAATACAGGTTTTTCTCAATCGTCTTTCATTTCAAAACAGCTGAGTTTCACTTCATGGAACCCACAGGTGGCTGAAAGGGCACGGACAAGGCAATTGGAAAATGAGAATTAATTGCAGGCTGACAGGTGAATGTGTTTGTGTTGTGCCACAAGCTCGAGGTCCTGCCCAAGACCAGAAAGAATAGGACGTAGTGCCAGAGTGTGGATTGGGTGAAGGAGCCCTGGTTCAGATAACTGTGATCAGTAGGACTACTGGTCACTTACTGATAAACTGTCAAGCAGTTTAAGATATTGCCAAGTATTTTGTTTGTTGTTTTCTGCTCTAAGTATAGCAAAGGAGCTGCTTTGCTGTCATTGCCTGGATACCTCAGAGAATAAAAACTTCCCCTGCAGTTGCAATCTGTGCCCACTTAAGCAAAGCTGTTTGATACAAGACAGCAGAGAGAATATCAGATGGTATTATTTACTATGTTAAATTACTTTTATGGAGAATCTAAATCTCAGTTGAGAGTTTTCTGACTCTTGTTCCTCTTTATGCAAAACCTGGCATCCTCTGGTGGTGTTTAAGTGACACCAGTGAGCTGGCAGTTGTGAGTCGTGTCACTTGTGCACAGCGATGCACCTGGGTGTCAGGGAAGGATTTGCTTTGTGGAACTGTCAGTGTTTGCAGACTCCAGGCGTGTTTCTAAGCAAACCTTGTGCTCTCCCCTGCGTTAGAGAATCGGCCGTGAACCTGGTGCGCAGCGGCTCGTACACCCGGCAGCCGTGGAGGGATGAATCGAAGGGAAACGAAGCTCCCCATTCTGGTGCACCCACTACCTACGTGTCCACCTACTTGAAAAGGTACGTCCGGTTCTGCCTTGCCTGGATACCCAGCAGTCACTTCTACCTTTCACATCCCTCCCAAATCTGCTTGCTGCTTCCTGCATCAGCATAACTGGCCTTGGGACCCTCTTCTGCTGAGAGCAAGAGAGAAAAATAACAGTTTGCTGACATTTGTCACGCTCAGTAGTGTTTTTCAAGGCCATCATTTCTGTTGATTTGTATATTGCTGAACTGAATTTAAATGCTCTTGGTCACATAATTCAAGTGCAAAGTGTTTTCTCAGTTTTATGCTAGCGTTATGGTTAGACAATAAAACAAAAATTGATCATAAAATGAGACTGAAGTAATTACAGTCTGAAAGCGTTGTTCAGATAGCTATTGACAGGTAAGTTGTAGCTTATCTCTGATCTTGGTTTATATTAGTCCATGTTTATGGCATCATTACCAGAAAAGTGGCAGTGTTCTTGTGCATGGCTTACAGCACTTGTAAGCAGTGAGACCAATGTCTCCAGCCGCTTTCCTGTGGCAGTAAGGCAGCAGTTTCTGCACAGGGGATGTGAAATTGTAGCTGCTGATCGCTGGTAAATTAGCCAGGCAGAATCAGGAAAGCAGCCCTGTGCGTAACAACTTTAGTTGGCAGCACCTTTTACCCCTTTGGAAGGCAGAGGCTCAGTTTCCTTCAAGTACAGGTAATGGCTGTGTCTCGGTGAGGGGAGTGAATGCCCTGCTCTGTTAAGGCAAATCAAACTTTACTGAGTGGGCGTCTCGGTTGTGAGAGGGAGGATCAGCCCTTTGTGCCAGTGCAGTGCCATCTCCCCCCTTTGTTTTAGCTCATACTGGAAACCATCAAAACCACACATGCATACACCTCACACTGCAGAGCCATTTCATCTGTGCTTAACGAAACAGGCAGAAACATTTCAAGGTTTTAGGTTATTTCACCAAATTCTAAACCCTGAACTAAATAACTGTCCTGAAGATGGAACAACTGCTTGTTGGAGAGGTGGATATTTTGTGGTTTATGCTGGTGGAGGTAAGCTGTGCTCGAGGCTGCGTCTGTCCAATTGCTGAGCACACGCAGACCCATTGCCACAAAAGGTGAAACGGCCGCTTGGAGCAGGAGCCTCCTGATCCGCTGACCCCTGCCAGCGGCTTCACGTCTGTCCAGGGACACGATGACAGCCCAGCCTCCATGGTGTGTCCCTCCCTAACGCCAGCCCGACAACCCGCAGCCCATTATGCTGTGAAACCGTTCCCTCTTGCTGCTGGCGGGCCTCGCTGTTCCCTGGTGCAGAGCCAGCCCCTGCATTGGCGTCACCAACGGGGCTGAGCGTTGAAATGTTCCAAACGTTGGCTGCTCGTCTCAGCTAATCCCGAACCAGCTTTAGCATTACAGTCACACTGTGGGCCCGGATTTCCGTGGTTAAGGAGGCTTTGGCTGGCGGTGGTATTTCTGTAACACCGATTTCTAGTCACAAAGGCTCAATTCTGGCCTTTCGTAGCAGTGTTACAGCTTTGCCAGGTAGGGCTAAAGTGTACTTTTAAAAAGGGATCAGGGGTTTTGCACTGTATGTGCAAACAGTAAAATCATGATCAATTTGACCTCTATCCCGTATGGTTTCCTATAAAAGAGCACAGAGAAATGAAATATCATCATATTGACCCTCTGATTTCTCCAGCCTTGCACCTCAGGCTCTAAGGTGAGGAAGGGAACCCAGTTCCCTGTTCAAGGTTGGGCTCTTTGGCATTTCCAAGTATTCACAAAACTGAGCACAACTCCAGAAGACAAAGCTTGTTCTGAGAGAGGAGGGGTTCAAGTGAACAGCACAGGACGTACTCGGTGTTAGTGAGAGGATTGTGCATTGAGGGCTCTGGAGAACAAGCCTGATGAGGAGCGGCTGAGGGAACTGGGCTTGTTTAGCCTGGAGAAGAGAAGGCTGAGGGGAGACCTCATCACCACCTCCAACTGCCTCAAGGGAGCTTGGAGAGAGGTGGGTGCTGGGCTCTTCTCCCAGGTGATGGGGGATAGAACAAGGGGAAACGGCACCAAGCTGTGCCAAGGGAGGTTCAGGTTAGAGATAAGGAGGAAGTTCTTTCCTGAGAGGGTCGTCAGAAGCTGGACCAGGCTGCCCAGGGAGGTGGTGGAGTCACCATCCCTGGATGTGTTTAAAGAGCGGGTAGACGAGGTACTTAAGGATATGGTTTAGGGGGTAGACAGGAGCAGTTGGACGTGATGATCTCAGAGGGCTTTTCCAACCGAGCCATTCTGTGATTCTGGTTTCCCCTTTACCTTCACAGTTAACTCATCTCCATACAGATACCTCGTTGTGTTCTGTAACTGCTTTGTATGACCCCAACAAAGAGTAACCAACAGCAAAAAGTCATCCTAAGATGTTGAAAATGGCTTTTCTTCTAAAAGGGGACACAGTAACTTGCAGCAATGTTGCAAATGTTCTTCAGCTCCGGTTTTGGCGAGTGTTAAAGCGCTCTCTGCAGTGGTAGTGACCGTCATCCATTCTGCTTTCTCTGTGGGTGCACCACTGGCCCAAAAATTCACACAACCCCTTTCTCCATTTTAGTGCATGTTGGCCTTCAGGCAGCCTGGTCACATCGCCTGCGTGCTAAAGGGTTTGGGGGAAAAAGGGCATTGAGTTGATTCTGCGTCCTGTGCGCCTCACAGGAAGGGATCGCGCACACCAGGATTAAATCACTTCTTCACACAGTTCGTTTCTCCTTCTTTTTACACATTTGCAGATACACCTCCTTGCTGGTTTTGGCCACATGAAAACATCACAGCGACTCAGCCCAGCAGTGCATGCGGCCCAGGTTCTGATCCTGCCAGGTTTTAGAGGACAAGTTGTGAAGTTTAGGATAACTTAGGGGCAGTCTTCATCTCCCACACTGCCCTCGCTGCCAGCAATCCTGAATTTAGGAGCCAGGGGTTATATTTAACCATTGTTCCTAATAGGAATTGTGGCCAGTTTCCATAGCAAGTCCTGATTGGATCCCTGCAATAGCCCATGGCAGTGTGTTCAAACAGAAGTTACGTGGTTTTTGGAACCCTTTTTTATTAGCGTATGTGGAAGCTTTTTAAGGTTTTGAATTCGATTTGCTTTAGCTGTTTTCAGAGGTATTCCCTGTTTGAAAGGTTACTTCCCATGTCATTGCTCATTCCCTGATGGTCAGGTTGTGGTGATGATGTTAGAGCAGGAGTAGCAGTGTATTAGTGCCTTTTTCATTTCTCATGTTGAATTCTTTAGCATAAATTCATAACTCAGCTTTCTGCAGATTCAGATGAACACCGCTAATTAACAAGACTCCCCAGCTAACCTTTTTCTTGCAATTTCCTGTCCCTGTTCGCGTTTGATGTGAATAAATGAGCCCTCCACAGGCTTGGCAATGCCACCCATGCAATGATGGGACGGGGAGGTGGGTTCCTGTAGAGCTGGCGATGCCGCGACTCCCTCCTTGTGAGCAGGGATGCGCAGTGCCCCAGCACCACACTTCAACCTGGGGTGCCTGCATGTGGGAGCTGGCACAACACCATCCCCATGCTCTGCTCCTCCACTCTTCCTCCTCCTTCCCATCCCAGGGGCCTGCTGCTGCTTCCTTCCCAGTCTCCCCTTTTCACCCATTACCGTCCTTCTGGCAGACAGCCCTCGTCAGGTCTTGCTTGACGTTCCCCCCGCGTCCTCCCTACCTCACCAGCTCCTTCTCTTTTTGCAGCCGCCCTTCGTGCCCCAACCTTGGGCTCTCCTGGGATGTTGCCACATCAACCCTGCTTCCCCCAGGGCTGCCACCACCTTTTCCCCTGCGGCTCCTCCTGTTCCTTGGCTCCACATCCATCACCTTCTCTGTACACCCATTGCTGCCACTCCACAGCCGCTTGCTCTGCACGCCCACACCAGCCAGGCTGAGCCCCCTGCCCTTGTCCTACCCCCAACCCATCTCCAGGGCTTTTCCCTGGTGCAGAGAGCCAAGGGAAGACCCTGGCTTCCAACAGGACGTCTTGTCCTGCTGCCCCTGCTCTCCAGAGGAAGCTTTGTTTAGAGTCACTACCTGGTGACAGTAACTTGCTTTTGTGCCTTTGGGACCTGGATATGGCAAGCAGCCACCAACTGCAGAGCCCAGATGTGAGGTTCCTGCCCATGAAGGCCTCCAGGAGGCCCCGGTCCCTCCTTTGGCTGCCCAGGGACCAGCTGCTGGTCCGGGCTGGCTGGGGGCCTTGGCTTGTAAAACTAATGTGTAAATGGGGTGCCTAAGTGGGTTGGACCGGATCCTCCTGTCCTTGGCTCTTGTCCTGCCCCTTTCAGGTTTTATTTTGGCCTCGGGCAGCTCCAACTCTTGCGCTGGTGTTGACTTGCATTTCCAGTGCCTTGTCCCTGGCGTTCCCATGAGCTGCAGCTCTTTGTCCCAGGCTGCTTTTCCAGCTTTTATCCCTGGTTCAACCAGATTTCTCCGTGCTCCGTATGCGCTGCCATGGGAGTCATTAGGAGAGGCAGCCTCGCACCTCCCTGGCCTTTGATCCTGCACACAGCCCAGTCTGACCAGTAGTAACCAGCAACACCAGTTGCTGGGAAGGCGTGGCAGGGTCCTGGATGATCCATGCGTGCTCTTTTGCACTGTGCCTGCAGCGAGCAACCTGCGTGCGGGGCACTGGCACAGAAAATAGGGAGGTTTTGCCAGAATCCATGGAGTCTGGTTTTAGAGGTGTACAACTTCTCCCATTTAGAATGGATTTTCTCTGAAAAAACAAAAGGGTCCATCCTCATCTGAGAGCCCTTCTCCTTTCCTCCTGTCTTTTCTCTGAAGTATAAGCACTTAAACGCTTACAACTTTCCAGCAATAATGGTTTTAAGACAAAATACATCTTTCCCCTTGCTCATTCTCGAGTATTTTTGGACTGTTTTGCTCGCTGTTTTCTGGAAATACAACATTTGTGCCAGTCATGCCTTAAAGAAAATTAAAGCTTGAACTGATCATCTTTGCCAAAGCTTTAAGCCGCTGAAAACCTGTTCTTAAAGCTGGAGATCCCAGGCATCCTTGGGGACCCTGCCTCCATCCCTCTCTCCTCCGCTGCTTCAAGCACCCTCATCCTTGCTCGTTGTTTCCACCTCTCCCGGTGCTCAGGGGTGCTCTGTGTGCGCCACGGTCGGGTTTTTCCTTCCCTGATCTCCACCGATTCCCCTCCACGCCCTTGTTCTCTCGCTGGGCTTAGCTCCGAGGGTGCTGCCGGCGCTGCAGCCGCCCCGGTGGGCTCTGATCTCCTCCATCCTGCTGAGCTGCGACCCCTGTTCCCTTCCCAGCCGCCAGCCCAGCTGCGGTGCTGTTGTGTTCAGTATTGACTGTGCTCTGAAGGACGTGATTTTGTGATGTTTTACAGTGCTTCATTTGGTAGAAGTAGTGACCTCAGCAGCCCCTACATTGCAGCCAGTCGCAATACATCTCTGGCTACCTCGCCCACTGCCTTTGGCTCATCCGCCTCGCTGGGCGCCCCGTGGCAACCTGTCTCTTCCTGCCCCACACCTCTCGGTGCGAACACTGCTGCCTCAGCCCACCAATATACCAGGTAACAGCTGCAGAACATCAGCTTTTGGGTTGGAAGTTCTGGCTTCTGGAGCGGATTGGAAATGTGCTCCCACGCGGGGAGCGCTGATCGGAAACCCCGGCGCGGTTGGACGGGTTCAGGAGCGCGTGTGACCAGCAGGCAGCCACAGCCCCTGTGTGGCCGTAGCTCTTCACTCGCCGCAGTGGTCGGTGGTGCCCTCTGCCACCCTGTCAGACTCGAGGTGTTGCTCAGGCTGCTTTGGGCGTTCAGCGTGCGAGCTCTTGAGTCCATTCCTTCTGCTTACCCATCAGGTACATCTCCTAATCGTTTTTGCTACAAACAGGGATGTGAAGACCGTGAATTCTTCCTGCTTGTTCTTCTACAAGTTTTTCCAAATTCATTTTAATTGTGTGCTGTTCTCTACAAAAAGCCGAGTCTAGAGCCAGGAGAAGGAGCTGTCGATGCTGATGTCTCTCAGCAGTTGGGTTCACTTTGCTTTGCTTCCCATTATGTCTCCTCTATTTCAGAGCCCCTTTCAGGCACCAAACTGATTCTGCCGTAGAGAAAAATACAGAGGGCATCTCTGCTAGCACCCCCCTAGGTGTAATCACAAATCGTGCTGTACTCGGCTCTGCTAACGGTATTGCCAATGCCGGTGCCGCCTCAACCGCAGGAAAGGACTGCTCAGCTGAGGAAGCCAGGGAGCGCAGAAGGTCAGTGAGCAGGGGGCGCGGGTCCTCCTCCTCTTAGGTCTCACGTGGTGGTGACGACGGGGGCGTACGAACGGGTTACAGGGTGCTGTGTAGATTTACAGGGTGCTGCGTAGTTACAGGGTGCTGTGTACAGTTACAGGGTGCTGTGTAGTTATGGGGTGCTGTGTAGTTATGGGGTGCTGTGTAGTTACAGGGTGCTGTGAAGAGTTACGGGGTGCTGTGTAGTTACAGGGTGCTGTGTAGTTACAGAGTGCTGTGTAGAGTTACAGAGTGCTGTGTAGTTATGGGGTGCTGTGTACAGTTACAGGGTGCTGTGTAGTTATGGGGTGCTGCGTAGTTACAGGGTGCTGTGTAGAGTTATGGGGTGCTGTGTAGTTACAGGGTGCTGTGTAGTTACGGGGTGCTGTGTAGTTATGGGGTGCTGTGTAGTTACGGGGTGCTGTGTAGTTACAGGGTGCTGTGTAGTTATGGGGTGCTGTGTAGTTACAGGGTGCTGTGTAGTTATGGGGTGCTGTGTTGTTACAGGGTGCTGTGTAGTTACGGGGTGCTGCCCTGGCTCCGTCTTAGAGTTGTGAACTGAGTCATTGCTGTATTGTGGGGTAAATTGAGTTCCATCATTTTCTGTTTGACTTTCCAGTAGTCGTCTCAGCTGCTGATCTCAGTCCCTGTGGTGTGAGGCAGACAGCCCATCGCTGTTTGCAGTAGCGTCTGTAACACCAATCCCATCTGAAAAAGAGCGCTGGACTGAGACACGTTCAGATAAAATCCATTTCTCTGGTCCTGCCTGGTTTACGTATGCCCCAATGGAGACATCTTTGCTGCTGGATTCCCTCTGTAGCTTATGGGGGGAAACAAACGTTCCTGGAGCATGAAATGTGGGATGCAGGGGATGGCCTGCACCCCAGCAGTGTGCGTTGCTTTTAATTGACCACAAATGAAGACTTAGCACAGGAGAAGTCTGCCAAGTGCAGCCAAGGCTGTCCCAGCAGCGGTGGTATTTTGAATTGCTCTGACTGTAGTTGCTGGTGTCCCTCTCTTCTCATGTGGTGTTATTTTAAGGCTGGGGAAATACAAACCTGGAGTAGCCAGTGCTCTTTTCAAAGGAGATGTAAATTGTGCACTTAAGTACAGAACATCAAATGATCTGTAGTTATTCCTGAAAACAGATTAACTTTTGCAAAATCTCTCTTCTGATGGTGCAAAATCTCTCTTCTGATGGCATCAGTGAAAGCAAACGGTAATAACTGTTTGGAGTGTGTTCAGAGAAGAGCCACAAGGATGGTGAGGGCTCTGGAGAACAAGCCTCATGAGGAGCGGCTGAGGGAACTGGGCTTGTTCAGCCTGGAGAAGAGAAGGCTGAGGGGAGACCTCAGCACCACCTCCAACTGCCTCAAGGGAGGTTGTAGAGAGGTGGGTGCTGGTCTCTTCTCCCAGGTGATGGGGATAGAACAAGGGGAAACGGCACCAAGCTGTGCCAAGGGAGGTTCAGGTCAGAGATAAGGAGGAAGTTCTTTACTGAGAGGGTCGTCAGAAGCTGGCACAGGCTGCCCAGGGAGGTGGTGGAGTCACCATCCCTGGATGTGTTTAAAGAGCGGGTAGACGAGGTACTTAAGGATATGGTTTAGGGGGTAGACAGGAGCGGTTGGACGTGATGATCTCAGAGGGCTTTTCCAACCGAGCGATTCTGTGATTCTGTGAACCAAAACGCAGCAGTGAGCTGTGCATCCCTAACTCACAACCAGTTCCTGGAGTGCTTTCAGTAATGAGAGTCTTCCAAACTAAAACAGCAACTGCTTAAAACACAGACCTTCCTGAGCAGAGAGAGAGCTCTGCCATATTTGAAGTGGCCTGAAGCCAGAGGATGTGGAAAGCAAGAATGGGAATTACGGGCTCCCAAAGAGAAAGGTGGCAGAGCTCAGCAGCGCCGGGGCTCTGCAGCCAGGGACGGGACCTCTCCATGGAGGGGAACAGCGCCTGCCCCCGCCTTCCCTTTGCTTCAGCAGATCCAAGGGAGAAGGCGACCTGTGCCGTTTGGAAAACAGTCACACTTTATTGCTCTTTGGGCTTTTTTCCCTTTTTCTTTTCCAGAGCTAGCGCAGGGAGTGCTCTGACGGCGTCGCAGGCGTCGGGGATGAGCCGCGTTCGTCGTCTCTGTGCAGGCTGCGGTGGGAAACGGCTGCTGCAGCGTAGCTTTGTCAGAACGCTCACGTTTAATACTGGGGGTGCCTCTGTGCGCTCCCCATCGCTTTGCTGGGCGCCGCTTGGCTCGGTGTCGCTCGGCTGAACTGAGAGGAGCTGCCAGGAGACGCTGGCGGTGCACGGTGAGGCTGTGCACAAGTGGACAGAGCGGCCGTTGTGCTTTCCCTTCACACTTCAGACCGTTTCACAGCGGTATCTTTATTTTGGCAAGCCCCACATCGAGTTGCAGGGGCTTTAAATTCTTCCCCGGAGAAGTGGGCTCGCAAAACCCACCAGACTTTTGGCACCGTCTGCAGACGGGGAACCTGACTGCGATAGCCCTTGGAAATGCCCAGCAGAGCACCTATTAATATTACCACATTGACATGCATTGCCAGATCGGTTTCTATAAATAACGTAGGAGATCTGTTGAAGTCTCCTGCATTTTTAGTAGAGAACCATCCCCTGTGAATTATGTTAATGCAAAGAGAAACACCAGAACTTTCCTCCCACCTTTAATTGGTGATTTGAAACTGCTGATAGGAAAAAAGCACAGCACTGATGGAAACCTTGTTTATGAACATGTGTTTTAACGGCAGGATACAGCGACCGGGAGCTGCCTGCACGTTTTGAACTGGGAAACACAGGCCTAGAGGAACAGGAGAGGTCACCTAAATGGGGAAAGCTCCTTTTGGAAGGAGACCAATTCCAGTAAAATAAGATAAAACCCGAAAATGGCAAGCAGTTGTCAGGGAAGCGCTGTATGGATTTCAGTTCCCACCGGCAGCTGTTGCGGTAGCATTTGGTTTGCTTCAGTGTTTCCAAAGCCTCGGCTTTCTCTTAGCAACAAAAACACAAACAAGCTTATCAGCTAATATTAGATCCCAGGGACATCTCCTCACTTGTGCCCTTAAATTATCCGTGTGAAGCCTAAAGGTTAACGCAGAAGGGACTGCTGGGTCTGGAAGGAGCGAGGAGCCAAGTGCTCTGGGGGCTGGTTTGGGTCCGCTGGTGGCCACCAGGCCTTACCCTGTCCCGCCGTGGTGTTTCAGTGCGGGGTTTTACCTGCTGCTTGTTTGCTGGTTAAACTGGTCACTTCCAGCGCTGGAAATGGTGTGAATGGTGCCTCAGGGCTTTGCAAAGGGAGGGAGAGGAGCGCTCGGTTTGGGGGAACACAGAGCTCTGGCTGCTGGGACCAGCTGTAGGCATCGGTGCTGTGGCACAGCCAGGGGGGTGTGTATGTGTGTGTGTGTGTGTGTGTGTGTGTGTATGTCTGTGTGTGTGTGTGTGCATGTGTGTGTGCGTGTATGTGTGCGCGCATGTGTGTCCATTTCTATGAGTGTGTCGGTGTGCGCGTGTGTGTGTATGTGCGTGTGTATGTGTCTGTATGTGGGTGTCTGTGTGCACATGTCTGTATACATGTGTGTGTGTGTGCACGTGTGTGTGTATATGTGTGTGTGTGTGTGCACGTGTGTGTGTATGTGTGTCCGTGTGTGTATGTGTGTGTGTGTATGTCTGCACGTGTGTGTGTGTGTCTGTGTGTGTATGTGTGTGTGTATGTGTGTGTGTGTATGTCTGCGCGTGTGTGTGTGTGTCTGTGTGTGTATGTGTGTGTGTATGTGTGTGTGTGTGTGTGTATGTGTGTGTGTATGTCTGTGTATGTGTGTGTATGTCTGTCTGTGTGTGTATGTGTGTGTGTATGTGTGTGTGTATGTCTGTGTATGTGTGTGTCTGTCTGTGTGTGTGTGTGTGTGTGTGTGTCTGTGTGTGTATGTGTGTGTGTATGTCTGTGTATGTGTGTGTCTGTCTGTGTGTGTGTGTGTGTGTGTGTGTCTGTGTGTGTATGTGTGTGTGTATGTCTGTGTATGTGTGTGTCTGTCTGTGTGTGTGTGTGTGTGTGTGTGTCTGTGTGTGTATGTGTGTGTGTATGTCTGTGTATGTGTGTGTCTGTCTGTGTGTGTGTGTGTGTGTGTGTGTATGTCTGTGTGTATGTGTGTGTGTGTATGTGTGTGTGCACGCGCGTGTGTGTATGTGTGTGTATGTGTATGTCTGTGTGTGTGTGTATGTGTGTGTGTGTGTGTGTGTGCCCATCTGCGCGCTCAGCCCCTCTCCCACGGCTGCAGCCCTGCGGTTCGGGTGCTGTCAGGCTGGACATGCGCCCTCCTCCACAGTTGATATTTTTGCCAGGTCATTTCTTCCCCTTTTTCACGGGAATTTTGCAGCCGCTGGTGCACGCTGTGTTGGGCCGTTTCAGTGATCTCCTGCTGCTGTCAAATTGTCTCTCGTTGCAAATGCTGTTGTCCAGCTGAACTCAAAGCAGCGCAGGCTCTGCTATCAGTGAATCACAAGCACATGGACTCTGTGCCCACAGCATCTCACGTAAGCCCCGTTCCTCCTGGTGAAAACAACGTCCTTTTGGTTCCTGCTCGGTGCACGCAGGTGGTGGGGACTTGGGGTCCTGTTGGTTGCAGCCCATTGCTGGATCATCACCCACGTTCGCCCAGGGTGACAGCGGCCTCTAGTGCCACCAAAACCTCTGCAGGGTTCATCTGCGCCCTCGTCCGGGCAGGTTCAGCGCAGGGCTCCGTGCCCACGTCTCGGTGGGGTTCCCGGGGTCACACAGCTCCCTGGAGGCTGCTCAGAGCTGTGTCCCCTCTGCATGGGGGGTCTGCAGAGACCATGTGGAGCTGCAGTGGGGGTTGTGCCGCGGGACATCTGGTGCTGGGGGTGGTCTGAGTCCCGCTGGAGCTTCCATAGGAGGTGACAGCTTTGGTTCCCGTGACAGACCAAGGCCACCGTGCAGCCCCAGCCCATGGTTTGCC